ACGCTTTCCAGTAAAGTGGTTGCTGGCGTTCAAAGCTTTGGCTTATTTTGCTAACCCAAATCCCCAACTTTCACCCGATTTCTGAGTGCTGCACTTTCTCTCTAACGCCTTAAGCCACTTTCTATGCAAAATCTAATGCACCTTTAAATGTCGGAATATGATGAAGGATGGGCAGCTTGCCTGCCTGCCTGGCTGGCTGCTCTCGTTGACTACTACTCAAACAAGCTAACAGAGCCCGGCCACCTCTTTGCTGTTGCTGTTGCTGTAGCTGTAGCTGATAAGCTGCTGCTATCAACGCCTTACACCCAAAAGCCCCCTCGCTGGTACACATCAAGCAGCGCAGCATCCGCTTCCGTTGCGCTGCAGCGTCAGCTTAGTATCCTGTTTTGCCCAGATTTACAGCTGAAACTCCTTGAAATACCATGCATGAGTGTGCGTGTTTATCTGTGGCGTTGCCGGAAAGTGAAACGTTTATGAAAACGTCCGGCTAGGCGTACCACAGTCCACACACACTCACACACACACCCTTGAGGCATGACCTTCTTTGGTTTCTGCTATGCTAAATTTCATATTAACTTTCATCAGCTAATTTCGCCAGCTGAACAATGCTTGAAGAATTTAATATCCTACTCGCTTCGCTTGAGCCCAACTGGACGTTGGCTAAGTGTGAATGTTAGCCATGAATCCTTTTCTCCAGCTCGGACTGGCCCTTGTCCCAAGATAAACAATCAAGTCTTGACCTAGTTCTATGCCACTCGTTTGCCTTGCCCTTTGTCATCATCATCGTCAGTAACAGCAGCAGCAGCAGCAGCAGCTTTGACATGGACAAGTAACAAGAAAAAAACTAAAACTAAACTATGCTAAAATCAAGAATGATGAGCCGCAATGAAGCCCTGTAGCATAATTATCATATATTATATATAAAATCGAGCGACATATTTTAGAGATCAAATATATGCAATTTAAGGTGTGAAATGTGCATGATTCACTGAATACTTAGGATAGAAGACAGTTAAAAATATTCATTCGATCTATATGGCATATAATTCCTATAGCTGATAGATTCCTTATGCTAAATGGACATGTATTGTTAGTTAGATGATAAACTTGTTTTAGCAGTGGAATAGAACATATGTTATGACATTTAGATTTATAAATCCCAAGTTCAACAAGGATAAAATGCGTTATATATATATATATATAGATGTTTATGCATATCAAATAATCATATATATACGTTATAAAGTCTACATGAGAAATATTATTAATGCAGCTTTTATAGTTGCCGAGTTCACTGGGTACATTGCACAATAGTTTGGAATAACCAACCAAATTCTATAGGAATTTTATTTACATAAAGCATAAACTGAACATGCCAAATATCAAGTCTCTAACTCATGGACTTTCTGAGTTCAATCAGCACATAGCATATGAGAAAGGCTTAAAAGAGCCAAAAATTTTAATATATTATTAAGATAGAGTCAAGATTATATATACCAAAAAATTAATATCTCTAACCTTAAGAATTCTCGAGTTGTATGATATATTAAAGAATATGTTTTGGGCTTATATAGTGTAGATTCCCGTTAGTAAACACTATAACCCACTTTTATATAAGCTACAACTTTTTTAATTAAAAATATATAACATAAAGTTCAATATAGCTTCTTAAGGTTTTCTTTAATTTCATTGTATCCTATAAAAACATTTTGATAGGGTGTAAGAAAAAAGGAATATTTTATAAGAATGGGATGAAAAATTCGCCAAGTTTACATGCAGAAATGTCCGCTAACCCAAAAATTGAGACAGCTTTGCCCCGCTGAACACACACTCACGCCCACACACACACATAACCAAATATATTTGACTATAATACAATTTTTTTCTGTTTTCGTTTAGAGTTGGGTTAGGTGCTTGGTATATGGGCTCTGATGGCTGGGTGGCCTGGCTAAAGTGCAGTCAGACAGCCATTGGATCATTTGTCTTGGCATTGTTGCCTTTTACAGATTTCTCTTTCCTGCTGATTTTTATTGCTGCTGCTGCTGCTGTTGCATGAAAGTTTTGGCTTCGTAGAGCTGCAATGGGGCTTATGGGTTTATAGGCAGCTTATATGACAGTCAAGTTTGCAACAGAAGCAGCAGCAGCAGCAAAAGCAAACGAAAATGAAAGTATGCAAATAGTACTTGACAGTTTGCTAAAGTTTTGCTCTGAAATAAAAAAGATAAAAATAGTTAACTTTGAATAAATAGACAAACACATTTGAGCCAGTCAATAAGTATTAGAAATCACTTAAGAAGGGGCAAAATAAACAGAAAAGTATAAAAGGAAGTTGGGAAAAAAGGGTATATTATAGGATATTTGTTATAGAAAGGATGGAGAGAAAAGAACAATATTAAAAAATATATTAATGTAAGAAATTGTTTAAGAAAGGTAAAGTGATAAAAGAAGAAATTAAAATAAGCCAAAAATTATGAAATTCGTGAATAATAAATTAATATAATAAATGAATATATAATATTAATATAATAAATGAAACTAGCATCCAAAGGAATATGAAAGGAAATGAATAAAAAAACTAATTATTTATTAATAAATTAAAAATAAAATGGAATATTTATAACAAAAATTATAATAAGAAGAAAAATGCAATAAATAGCAAAAATAGTAAGAAAAAATGAAATTTGATTTATTTAATTTGCAAATATTTAATAGATTTTTAAATATTTAATTGATAAATAAATGAGCTTTTATATCGAATTTATATAAAATATTTTATTGTTAAAATAATGTGAAATAATAACTCAAAAAAACACAATTAGTTTCATTATAAATAGAATATATATATAAAATATTTTTAACATAGAGATGTATATTTGTATATATAAATGTATATATAAATAAAAATATATAATTTATGTATAAAAAACATAAATACTAAAAATATATAAATACTAATAGTTAAAAAAAGCCGAAAAATGAATAAATAAATAACTTAATAAATAATCAAAATAATAAAGACAAAGCTTAAAAGCACATTAAGATTGTATAAAAATCAGTGCAGGGTATCGCTTAAAAAAATCTACAAGAGAAGTAAAGAAAACTATAAAAGAAATTTCACCAAAAATTACAATCTCACTCACACACATACGCACACACACACACACACACAATTTAGCCAACGATACGAAACAAAACAGGAAGAAAAAAATAAAAGCTAACAGAGCAACAGAATCAGGGACCTGACTCTGACGCTGAATGTTCGGAGCAAATGAAGGTGTCAAAATGACAGGCAGACAGCAGCAGCAGCAGCAGCAGCAGCGGCAGTAGCAGTAAAAAAAAACAGAGCAGAGAAGGAAACGAAGGCCTCGGACAGACACACACTCACACATGTAGAGACGCCTGACTGGCTGGACGTGCTGTGGATGGATGGATGGCTGTGTTGCATAGCACTGGGTATATATAGAGGGTATAGCAGAGGGACAGTCTGTCTGCCTGGTTAACTGTATAAACGCCAAAACGACGGCAACAGCAGCAGCAGTAGCGGCAGCGGCAGCATTTGCTAACTTGCACCATCAACAAGGACAACAAAAACAATAACAAAACACAGACTACATAATTGTATCTGTATCTATGTATCTATACGCTGGACCCCGTGCATTGTATTGCAGTTACGTGCTCGATGGTCCAGCAAAATGGCGAAATAAAAAGCGAATGAATGGAAGCTAAAGCCATGGCTAAAAACTCACTTTGTCAAGCATTGGCCAAAACGAATAACAAATGCACTGACTGAATGTGTTTAAAAAACTATTTAAAAGATTTTTTAGAGCAAGCAATGAAATTTCAAGAAATATTTAATCTGTTTATATTGTTTGATTAACTAAAAGATATATCAAATTGTATGAAAAATAAGTAAAATTCTCATATATAACCAAAACTCAACTATTCAAGAAAATTTGGGAATATATTTAAAATAATTTCTAGAAATGATATATCAGAATTCAATTCAGATACATTTATAAAACTCTATAAATGTCCACAATTATCTAGACGATATCAAAGCATATTTGGCTTGCTCTATCAAAAACATGTTAATGAAACTTAACAGTGTGCGCTTAACATGAATAAAAACTGCTTAACCTTAACATAAATTATAACAGCGGATATCATATATCTTCTCTATGTTTTCTAAAATATAATATATATTTCTGTTTTTATATAAATTCACATCAATGAACTCTAGACAATTTTAATAGCTCCATAAATTAAGCACCTTAGTTGCATTAAATTTTTGTCGAAAATAACCTCAACAGCCCATCAATCTTGTCTGTGGGCCACCCTCACCAAATATAGGGTATATAGTGAGGGCAGCAAAAAAGCTTAAAGACTTTGGCCAACTACTGACACGATGGCCAAATGCCAAAGCGGATTTAAGTTGTAGCGAAACTTTAAATGAGTTCAAGATTGTAGATTTACCCCAGCCACGCCCACCATTTGTGTGGCTGGGCGTGCCTGATGAAGCGTAATGATGATGACTTTGTTAGATTGATTGATGGCTGGCTAACAGATTGAGCCGAGGGCGGGGCGCAAAATAGACAATTTACAATTTACAATTTACACTTGAAATTTTCCCAAATGAGAAAAAGAAAGAAATTTCATATGTTAGAGAATTTTATAAGAATTTTGCATTACTCATTGCATTTTTTCTTTCTTTTTCTGTTGCCACTACTATTTCTATGAATGGCTACATTTTGCTAATATTTCTTACTCAAAAACAACTAAATTCACATGAAATATGCTAAACTTAATATTCATTTCAAATTTTTTAAAAACTATTGTAATGGTTATCTCTTCTCATACATTTACTGGCACTACTATTTTTATGAACACAGCTGTAGTATAGAATTTTATATGAATTTTGCATTATTCATGCGCCACGTTATTAATAAAGAGCAAAAACGCATCTGCAGATGACCAATTAAATATTTAGGTTTGCGCTCATTGTGGCCCGTTCGGTTTTTTGCACTTTTTTATGTCACTCATGAACCGGAAATGCCGTCAAGGTTTCAGTTGAAGCAAAAATAATTTGTTCTGCTCGCCGGGCGCAGTTGCAATGGATCAGTGGACGGGCGTGCATCGCGCGTTTATAATACGCGCCTATTATAGAAACAATGATTCCATAAGCACAGCGCAGCGCATGTTTAAGAAACAGTTTAGCATTTATCAAATACCGCCCACGAATGTGATCAAGAGTTGGCTGCGCCACTTCGAGTGCACGGGCTCCTCGCAAGCGGGCGGCTGCACAGCGCGTTCCTCCATACCCGTAGTATCGAAAATCCATTAATTTGCCATTAGCTATTGTAATAATAATAATAACGTTCTCTTTCGCAGCAAATCTTTTGCACCATTTGCAATCAGTGCCTGAGCAATGAGAAGAATTTCAGCAGCTCCATCAAATAGACGAACTATTTGGCATCAAAGTATTACATTTTTACATTTTGTATATGGCATAGTTTATGCTTCTTCTTTATCGTTTTATATAATAATAAATATGCACTTTTGTTTTCTGCTAATTAACAAGTTTGTTGAACATTTTAAGTCAACACTTTTGAGTGCCAGCCTGCTTTGTGTGAGCATATCAAACGCTCGACACATTTCGCTCTGACGGAGGTTCTCGCACATTTGTTTGTCATGCTTGGCAAAAGATCGTCGCTGCGGTTGGTTTCATACGAAATTGAAAGAAATCCCAAATTCTTTTGACTGACAAACGTCTAAATTTTCTACTTTTTTTTATAAATTTCTATATGCTTTAGTTGATTGTTGTATATTTTCATATATATTATATATTGACCTACAATATTAATAGCACGGAAATATTTGCAAAATAAATGCATTATTACAAGCAAGAGGTATTTGATTAATTAATACATACAATGTATCTAACTAGGCTCACAGTGAAGCCCCATAAGAAATGACTAAGGAATGTTCAAGTCCAGTGCTGCCAAAGAGTAGAAAAAGTAACTTCTACAAACAGTTCAAATCTTTCCGAGTTTCGAGCGTATCCGAAAAATATATTTGAAAAACTACTCAAAATATATTTAGCTAGCCAAACCAAACCATATTCTCTTAAATCATATATTGTAAAACATCAAAATATATTTAGAAAAAAGAAAAGTTGTAAGATTAGTGAATCATAATTGGTAAGTGATATAAACACCAATAACTTGGCATTATATTCCCTTATTATATTTCACATCAGATAACATTTGAAATTCGTTAAAAGTGCAAGCGATTAGAATGTTGCCATGGTTGCGTCTGCGTCTACGACCCAAGTATTGGTTCTATTTCCTATACAATGATCCATCGGTTGGAGAGTTCTTTAAGTGTACGGCATTCTTCGTTCTGGGAATATTTGTGCTAAAGCGCCTGGGAAAAGGCTTTCCAAATCTTTCGGTCCAGATTGAAAAGTTTCTTCAGTCCTAAATTGACTCGTATGCGAAATGGCAGTTGGACATATTAAGCTTATTTTTTTTTCTCTTACTTTGGCATTAAAAATTTTGTGAAATAGTTTAAATATTGTATTCGTAAAACATGTTTATTAAAAATAAAATATTTGCATAGTGGTGACAATACGCGGAAGAAATTCTTTTTAGTTACAAGCAAGTTAAAGGATCAACGCCTAAGGATACCATGCGAAAACTGGAATTATATTTTAAATAGCATGAAATACAATGCCAAACCATTGACTCTAAGCTACAGACACAAATTTTGTTAATAAGAACTTCGCTTATTTTGTTACTTAATTCGATTTGTCTTATAAAAACTCAAGGCATAAGCCATCATTTAAATTCTTTTAAATGTTTTTTTATGTCGGAGCAGCTTTCTTAAGAACTGTTCCAGTCAGTAGCTGGCTTTTCCTTTCAGCTGCGAGTTAATCAAAGCAAATCAAAAGTCGAGAAGCTTATGGTATTTGCAGGGTTTTCTATTTATGACATCAACTAGCTGACATAGACGCCCATTGAGCAGGGGCAGCTGTCAATTTGAAGTCAGCTAAATCTCATATTAACTTTGGCCATCAACAAATACCTCACATATCTAACACTCGCACTCTCCCTTTGTTGGCACCTTTTAAAAAAATGTCCACTTCAAGGCGATGTCATCAAGCTGTCAGCATGTCATATCAACTGAGATATATATTTATATATATATATATATATATATATATACATATGTTTTTTTTGAGGCGCGATGCAACTACTCAGCCTCACGGTTATTAACGGTTAAGTATTACGCTTACAGATTACAATCGGAAAAGGCGCATAAGGTTTTACGACTAAAGCATTAGTTTGAGTTGCATATACATATATATATGAGCGAGGCATATAAAATTAGGTGGCATCCAGCCTCATGCTATGCCACACATAAAAAATTCCCAGGAGATGGATGGAGAGGTAGCGAGTGTAGTGAGGAAGGATGCCGGAAAGCAACGTCAACGGCACAGCCAACGGTGCTTGCTATCATAATTTCGAAATGACAGGTAATTTGGGCCACAACAACAGGAACAACTGGCAGGTAGGTGGATGGGTGGGCGTGGCGGGCAGGAAGACCTGAGATGAAGTGCGAGCGCCAAATGGGAAAATGATGCGAGTTTATTAAGTACCGTTACTCAAAGTGTGTACCGAAAATCCTCACAAGAATTTATGATGCGCAATTTCCAAAAAAAAAAAAACGAAAACTCACAAATTTATATTGTAAATATATGAAGTGGTGCAGACTCGGTGGGCGCGAGCTATCTGTGCTATCTCTAAATGATATAAGCACACGAACATGCAACTAATGAGTGGAGCTTGTGTTCGAGTAGCAAGCCACAATTGCCCAGCATCACCACCACCACCTGTTCCATTGCTGCTATAAACTCAATTCAGGTCTTAGCTTTAAATTTCAATTGAAATTTAGAGCGCAGCTACGTGTAGTTGCTTCATAAAAGCACAAATTCTTGCCACTAGTGCCTGAGCTTCAACTGTTCTTACAGCAACGAAGGTTATGCAATGGCAGAGTAGAAAAGTAAATCAAGTTAAATTCGAATAAAGCTGTCATTTCATTAATCAATGTCTAAATTGAAAGGTTGCTGTGCAGCTTTATTTAAAACAATTTTATGTTGCTTGCTTTGTCTTGGTGAGTTTTAGCTATGTCATATGAATGGACGAATTTGTTTTTTATAAATAAATAATTATTGTATAAGTATAAGTATAATTAAAATGCAGAGATGTCAAACAAGATTATTTTATAATAATTAATATTCACTCAACAACAACCTACAAACTGTACGCTCACCCTAATATACTTGCCAGAAGACTCAGCCACAGAAAAAGGAAGAAAAGACTCAAAGCATAAACAAGTCTGTTCATTTAAATATATCCTCACCTCGACAAAACGCCTCGTATATATAAGCAACCAATGCTAGTTTTACAGACTATCATTTAACACTCTAGTACTCGCTACTCTAGTTGCTACATAGTAACAGAAACTAAAAAGCGTTTACAATGCAAGTTTTTAAATAAAATTTAATTTTTTGAAAAAAAAAAAAATATATATATATATATATATATATTTAAAACAATATAAAAAATAAAATAACATTTTTCAAAATATTTTTTTTATTTTTCATAAAATTAAATTTTATTTAAAAACTTGCATTGTAAACGCTTTTTATATTATTATATATATTTTTGTTATATATATATTTAAATTTTGCTTATACATTTTTATTATTATTTAATATTTTTTTTATACTTTTTATTAATTTTATTTATTTATAAGTTTTTGCATTTTTTTAAATGTTTTTTTTTTTAATATATTTTTTTAAGTAATTTTTTATACTGTTTTAAATATGATTTATATATTTTTCATATTTATTTAAACTTTATTTATATATTTAAAAATTTTTTTTTATATATTTTTCAATTTTTTTTAATATTTTTTGTATCAATTACCAATATTATCATCAATAACAAATTCTTAGAACAATTTTTTACCTATAGATTTTATTTAAATTTTTAATTTAATTATATAAAATATATATATATTTAAAATTGAATATAATTCTTATGCAAAACTCTATTAAAATTGGAAGTAGATTCACGTGTATTAAATAAGGGATCTTTTACTTTTAGAAATTTTGTTTGCAATTTTGTTAGTTTATTCGAGCTATTGATAGAAAAAGTTTAGCATTATTACTAAACTCTCAGCATATCTTATAACCCAATCTTAATTCAGTTTAGCTAATATTTTATTTTCATAAATTTCTGCATAATGCTCAATGGCAAATATTATTATTTATTATTATTTAATCATTTTATTTTTATTTTTATTTATAGATCGAATTGCATAAAGTCTTAGTTTGTTATTGTGTTTATTATTAATGTGTGATATATTTTATTTTAAATGTATACACATTTTAAATACCCTAAAATTGTATTGTATTACTTTGCCTCTTCTTGATGACTGCTGCATTATTATTATACACATTTATACTATATATATCATATATATAATCCCTAAGAACCCTCTCACATAAATCATTATGGAAAACCTTGCATGTTGTCTGTTTAACGATTTGCTGTTAAAAATGCTTCGCTATTGATGCCAAAATATTTATTGTAAGATATCTTTTCATAATGTGGGATTATCTAGGCACATGTCTTGCCACGATTTATGTGTGTCAAGAATCAAAAACACACACATGCACATACACACAGAGAGAAAAAGAAGACGAAACGCAGGAAGTGCCAGCTTTAAGCTCTTAGGAAATTGAATTCTTAAGCTTTATTGTTTTACTGGCCTCCATCCCAGTCTGGCATGTTGTAGGCCGAAAAAGGAGCGCATGCAAAGCAAGGACTTGCTGGGCGAGGACATGGAAGTGAATAAAACTGCAGCAAAAGCAATTTTCATAAATATTTAATGGATAACGGCGGAAAAAATAAGCAGAGAGCAGGACTGAACAACAGCGAAACAGGACAGACTCTATAGAGAGATGCAGATGTCCTGACTTATTCTGTCCTGGACGTGTATTGTAATGTATCGCATAGATATATGAGCTGCACATATGTCACATACACACGCACACACACACACATATATATATATATATATATATATATCAGCTTTGTGTATGTCTATATACAATATATAAATCTCGGCTTTTAAAGTCCTTCAAGGGAAGGCCATTACAGCCGGCAAAAATCATAACAATAAAAGCGAGACATCCAGCCAGGGGAGCACTGCACAAAAAGGGAGAGTGTGGGGGCCGAGGGGGCGTAGCAGTTGGCCTGGTAGCTGCTCTTACTTAATCGATGATGATGAATAATTGATTCGTGCGAAGCGCCCAAGCATGGAAATGAAAATGTCGGTTGGCTGGTAGATTGCTCCTGCCTCCCCCAACCCCATTCTCTTTATATATATATATA